AGTGCAACAACATTTAGGCTTAGTTATTTACTCATATCCTTTAAAAATCCAACAGCCCAGCATTAAATCAATGTGCAGAGAAGCCTGATAATGTAGGCTCAAAAGATTATGGGTGATACTTACAATGCTGCAACTTTTCAGTAGAACTGAAAGTACCAAAATCAGATAGACATAAACAAGTTAGCCCTATACTGTGGAAGTTACAGTGTGAGAAGAAGCAAATTGAGCTTCATAGACAAGACTAGCTAAAGATGAAGGACAGATTTTTATAGTTTTCATGATGGCCAAAAGAAGCAAGAGAGATGTTTAGTACAGGACATGATTATGTCGTAGGAAGAATTGGGAACTAAAGGCAATGTGAGGATTAGCTAAGCAAAGTTTTTTCAGGTAAACTAAAGAGCCAAAGTGTCCTATCTCAAGTGAAAAAAACCCCCAAAGCAGTAAACATCCTTCAAATACTAACATCCAATGATTGATTCAAAACCTGTCAACAATCAAAGTGTGAGACATCTAAAGGTTTCACGCTCTAAATGAAAGATTCCAGCAAACTGCAAATTCCAGAACATTTGACGGAATTCAAAGAGTGTGTGAAAAAGGAGTTTCCAAAAACGAGAATGTAATCAAGGAATGCGAGATTCGCACCAACATGAACACACGATCGAACGTACCACTGTGTATACATGTCGAGGACAACAATCATATCACCGGCGGCTTTAACAATTGGCCAGAACGTGTCCTTGTCAGCCTCCGTCACCTGGCCGACACTGACATTCACTGTTTCCAAGCTACACCTCACCACACAGGAACCGCGCCTCTTTCCCGAATCTAAAACAACACCACCTGAACAGAATCCACTTCTCGTCGCGACCCCGGAATTCGGGATCCGGCAGTGCTGCTTTACAGGACCGAGCCCTCCGGCGACGGTAACCAAAGTCGGAGAGTAACAGAAAGCCGTCGGTGCTGGAGCGATTCGAAGAGAGAGGGGCATCGTGTAGAAGCTCGAGTCCAAAACACACACCGAGATTAATCAATTTGAAGAATGTGATCTCAGTGTCTGAATGTGATCTTCAAAGGAACCTGATTGATACTTTGACTCTTTTGTTTTATTCTCTCAAGTGACTGAAAGAAGAAAAATGACATTTGGGGGTATTTACGTATTTTCTGGGCTTAGTGTTCGATGGACGCGAGGTGCAGAATCGTCGTTGGATACTTGGAATATATTGTTTCAGCTCAGTAAATGACGGTTTTATCCCCCACAATGTAAGGCCAAGAATTGACAGTAACAGTACACTCTCCAAAGTACGGACCAGTGATGGTGCGCGCGCGCAATACTCAAACCGGTTCTCCGGTTATTGAATATTCACGGGTTCAAATTTAAAATCATTGCCTTCGTCGTCGTCCTCCTCCCAACGAAATAAATATACCTCTCCGTCGATTCGGATTTCGCCGCTCAAAAACGGAAACGATGTTCTTTCCCCGCGTGAACGCCACTCGCTTCCAGCCACTCGTTGCTCCTCGCCTCTTCTCCGCCGCCGCTCCTCTCCTGAAATACTGCACGGAGAAGCCGCCGATCAAACCATGGCCGGAGAGGCTATTCCCAAAGCGGTTGGTCTCCATGATCACCCAACAGCAGAACATCGATCTCGCTCTCCAGATATTCATATACGCCGGTAAATCGCATCCCGGATTTACTCATAACTACGACACTTACCACTCCATTCTCTTCAAACTCTCCCGCGCGCGTGCTTTCGATCCCGTGGAGTCCCTCTTGGCCGATCTCCGGAAATCCTACCCGCCGATCAAATGCGGCGAGAATCTCTTCATCGACTTGCTTAGAAACTACGGGCTCGCAGGTCGGTTCGAAACTTCTATTCGGATCTTCCTTCGGATCCCTGATTTCGGCGTGAAACGCTCCGTTCGATCGCTAAACACACTCTTAAACGTTCTGATCCAGAACAGGAAATTCGATTTGGTCCACGCCATGTTTAAGAACAGCAAGGAATCTTTCGGAATCACTCCCAACATCTTCACCTGCAATCTCCTCGTCAAAGCTCTCTGCAAGAAAAACGATATAGAAATTGCATTCAAAGTGCTCGACGAAATTCCGGCGATGGGTTTGGTGCCGAATTTGGTCACTTACACAACGATTCTAGGCGGCTACGTTGCCAGAGGCGATATGGAAGCGGCGAAGAAGGTTCTGGGAAAGATGTTGGATCGTGGCTGGGATCCAGATGTGATCACTTACACTGTTCTCATGGATGGTTACTGCAAGTTGGGGAGATTCTCTGAGGCGGCTGAGGTGATGGATGATATGGAAAGGAACGAGATTGAGCCTAATGAAGTAACGTATGGAGTTATGATCGGAGCTTTATGCAAGGAGAAGAGATCTGGGGAGGCACGTAACATGTTCGATGAAATGCTTGAGAGAAGTTTCATGCCGGATTCTTCACTCTGTTGTAAAGTTATCGACGCGTTGTGTGAAGACCACAAGGTGGATGAAGCTTGTACGCTGTGGAGGAAAATGTTGAAGAACAACTGTATGCCTGATAATGCTCTTCTCAGCACTCTCATCCACTGGCTTTGCAAAGAAGGGAGAGTTTCAGAGGCGAGGAAGTTGTTTGATGAGTTTGAGAAAGGATCGATCCCGAGTCTCATGACGTACAACACGTTGATCTCTGGGATGTGCGAGAAGGGAGCGTTGACTGAGGCGGGTCGGTTATGGGACGACATGGTTGAGAGGAAATGCAAGCCGAATGCTTTCACGTATAACGTTTTGATCGAGGGATTGTCCAAGAACGGGAATGTTAAAGAAGGAGTCAGGGTTCTTGAAGAGATGCTGGAGAATGGTTGCTTTCCTAATAAGACGACGTTCTTGATATTGTTTGAAGGGTTGCAGAAGTTAGGGAAAGAAGAGGATGCGATTAAGATTGTTTCAATGGCTGTTATGAGCGGGAAAGTTGATAGAGAATCTTGGGAGCTTTTCTTGAAGAAATTTGCTGGTGAAGTAGATACAGGGGTTCTTGTTCTTAAAGAGCTCTTGCGTGGAAGTTCTGTCTCTTGAAGAACAAAGACTTTGATCCATATTCAATGCTCAAAAAGCTACCGACTCTTGGTTTTGGTTTTAGTGTGATACATATGTGCTCGAGAAATATAGATGAATTGCTTTGCAAATTATGATACAATGAAGAATATTATAAGTAGGGCCCAAGGCTCTTGTGGCAGATGAAGTTCGAAGGGAAGAAACACAGCGACACAAGCTGCTTATGAATATAGTTCAAGCTATGTGGCTTCTTTCTTGAAAATCAACTCAGATTAATGCAAGAAGCATACATTGATGGGGAAGATGGTGACTTGCAAAGAAAAAGTGATCTCCAAATTCTGCAGAAGTCTTTAGGATTTGGTTCTGTTTTTAACCTCTTACTAAAGGGATAACTTGACCAAATTATGGTATAGCTTAAGTTTCTTATTTTTGTTTGTCGGTGTTAGCCTAAGGTTAGGGATTGCAACTTCCACAAGCTTGATTGCGTTTTACTATAATGTAGTATTTATCGATAATTTATGATATGAATTCGATTGTAAAGTAGGATGCTATTTCACTACGTATACTAAAAAAGTGAACAAGCATAGTACAATATAAAGCTAGTAGACGAGGACTGATTTTTGTTGTTGTAAGAAGAAAAAGGCGCCAAATGGTAAATCTAAGATCAAAGTAAATGACAATCTGAATAAATGGAACTAAGATCAAAGTAAGTGACAATCTGAATATTGAACAAAATTCACTGATAATGATTAGAGTTTAAACACAGTTGTGTCTTACACTCTTACTACATTGTTAAAATCTTAATGATATAGATAAGTCAATAATATATCTCAATATTATGTATATGTCAACATAGTTTTATAATCTTATTAACACAAAAATTCACTAATTAACTAATTTCTTAAATACTATTTTTAGTATCCATAGGAAAAGCTGTTGTCTTTTAAATATTTTTAGATTCTTATAAAATACATATATATAATCTTCTTCTTCTTTTTTCTTAAAGTGGTCTTTTAAATATATATATATATATATATATTTTTTTATTTTTTTTTAACCGTGGGATCCCAAAGGTTTTCTAGGCCCAAAGACTAATCCCACGAGGCTCACGGCAATCCGCGTATTCTTACCATTTAAGGCAGTCCGGGTGGCCAAGAGGACTCGAACCCAAGTGGCGGAAGTCACAGCTGTGACCCCTTTACCACGGGGCCACGAGGCCTTGGTTATATTTTTTTTATATTTTTAGATTCTTATAAAGTATAATCTACATATATAGGATAATATCTTTTTCTTCTTCTTTTTTAAAAGTGTCACACCATCAATTTATTCTCTAGTATTTTGACAACATCTAACTCAATTATAAATTTTATAATCTAAAATCACTAGATATAAATTTATTAACTTAAAGAGTTTATGATGTAAAATAAAACTTAACTTATGTTCATTACCTATACATGTATATATATATATATATATATAATTTTAGTTAAATAATTAATTTAAAATGTTTATTTTTTAAAACATTTCAACAAACAATAATACAAAACACTGCGCAAAATGCGAGTTCGTTTGTAAGTAAATTAACAAATAACAAATTTTCGCAAATCGTTAAATTTCATTTTTGTTTAACTATATCGATAAACAACAATACAAAATTTCGCGCGAAATAAACAATTTTTTTTTTAACTAAACCAGTAATTAGTAACCAACAATATAAAATCACCAGTAGTTAGTAAACAACAATATAAAGATGAGAGAGATCTCCACCAGTAATTTAAAACAGAAAAGTAGAGACCAGAAAAAAACAGAAACAGAGACGCATCAAAATGTCTGCTTCACTATATAGTTTCAATTCGTTTCTTCTCTCTTCTTCTTCTTCCTCCTCCTCTTCACGATTTGCCCCTCTCCGCCTTTCCCGGATCCGATTTCCGGCGACCGCGTCTCCGCCGAGGATTCACCTTTCTTCTCGCGCTTTCTCAGCTGTCACCATGGCCGACCTCAGCGACGCCGGAATGGATGCTGTTCAGAGACGACTCATGTTCGAGGACGAGTGAGAAATTCTATTCCTTTTCTTCAATTTTGATTTGGGTTTGGTTTATATGTTGATCGTTCGAGAGGAAAACCCCAGAACTACAAGCAGCTACACGCAAAACTCTGTCTAGAAATGAGACGCAAATTATGTTCGACGAATCTAATTATTCCAAAATCCTGGATAAAACTTAAGCTGAGACTCTATGTTTTTTCTCATTTCATTAGAAGATTTAGTGAAATGTGTTTGCTTTGGTGATTTAAGCGAGCTTGATATCAAAATCTGATCCAATCTCTCCTTCATAGATGTAAAAGCGGCTTGATCATTTATTCAATTCAATCTCTTTTTGGTCTGCAGATGCATTCTCGTTGATGAAAATGATCGTGTGGTGGGCCATGACACTAAATATAACTGTAAGTGAATCAGATTCTCAATTTTAATCTCTTTGGGAAGTAGTATTGATGCCAACGTTAGCTCCTTTTGGATCCATTTGCTTGTTTTTTTCCTAGAAACACATGTCCTTGTCGCCGATGTGTTTTGGATAATGTGGTCTGAATTTGGATCTCTTAAAAGTGTTTAATTTAGTTGATCCAGGATAATACTGACTCCTTATAAAATCTGCAGGCCATCTGATGGAAAAGATTGAAGCTGAGAATTTGCTTCACAGGGCTTTCAGTGTGTTCTTATTCAACTCCAAATTTGAGTTGCTTCTCCAGGTACTTTCTTATGATTACCTTGACGTGAATATGGCTTTAGTTTTACTGTGCTCTCTGTAACACTTAACTATTGGTTGGTTGGATTTTGATCTTCTTGCTTCATAGTTTTGTGACCATCCTACTGAAACTTTCTTTTCTTTTATTTTTCTTCTCTTCTTGACAGCAAAGGTCAAAAACAAAGGTTACTTTTCCTCTAGTGTGGACAAACACTTGTTGCAGCCATCCTCTTTACCGTGAATCTGAGCTCATTGAAGAGAATGTGCTTGGTATCTTCCTAAGAAACGCTCAAGAGTAGTTTTTGCTTTTTGAAACATCTTGAAGCTATTAGCTACTGATCCCCACTATTTGACGCAGGTGTAAGAAATGCTGCACAAAGAAAGCTTCTCGATGAGCTCGGCATTGTAGCTGAAGATGTACCAGTGAATCAGTTCACAGCCTTGGGACGCATGCTTTACAAGGCACCTTCTGATGGAAAGTGGGGCGAGCACGAACGTAAACAACCAACCATTCATGTTTTGATCATTTTGATTCTACAGGCTTTTGGTTATCATAGATCTGAGTGTCTCTGTGGATTTTTTCTTGCAGTTGACTATCTACTATTCATCGTGCGGGATGTGAAGGTTGCACCAAACCCAGATGAAGTGGCTGATATAAAGTATGTGAGCAGGGAAGAGCTTAAGGAGCTGGTGAAGAAAGCAGATGCAGGTGATGAAGCTGTGAAGCTATCTCCATGGTTTAGATTGGTGGTTGACAATTTCTTGATGAAGTGGTGGGATCATGTTGAGAAAGGAACTCTCCTTGAAGCTGCTGACATGAAAACCATTCACAAACTCTAAATCTTCTTTTCTTATCTTCCTTTTCTCATTTTGGTATTTGTCATATGAGAAAACATGAAACTCTATTGATTCCAGACAAAACTTGCTAGGACTTTTGTGTTGCTTCATTTGCAAGGATATGAATTAAACTGTTTGCATCAAAACAAGATTTATAATTTTTTTACTTCTTCTTGAATTACAATTTACAACAGTAAAGAAAGAACAGAGCACGTTGAAAACAGACCAACACCAACAGATAAAAAACGGAAGAAAGACAAAGGTGGGGAAAGTAATGTTAAAGACCACAACATTGTTAAGTAATCTCATCTCATGATTCCTTTCTCTAAGCTTCACCACTCACTACATTTGATCTGATTTATACTAAAGATTCCTTTTTTTCTCTCTCTCAAAAACAAAATTAATAATTTATTATGGAGAAGTGATCTCTTTTAAAATCACCTTCTCCGAAATAGTAACACTGTAACGAGTTTTTCTGCATCTGAAATTTCTGCCTGATCCAGGTAACGAGACTTGATCTATATGTTCGAAAGTTTGTCTTTTTCCATGTGGGATTGTTCGAATTTCCGTGATAGAGGAAATAGATTCAGTGATCATACTTAAGCTATCGAAAATTCGATTGCTTTTTTTAGATTCTTTGCCTTCTGCTGGGTCTGAACTTTATTCGTTTGATCAGCTCCAAAGCTCGTAAACTGTCTTCTGGGTTTGATTCGGTTGTTTCCGTAACAAAGAATATAAATATTGGTGTGTTTCAAATCATTTCATCAGATTACTTATGATTGATTAATCAACTCTCAAGTCTCAACTTTGATCGTATAGCTGAAGGAAATGGCGTTTGTGACAACAGCGGAAGTTTGTGACGCGAATCAAGAGCTGATTCGGAGTGGTCAGCTCCGAGCTTTGCAACCCCTTTTCCAGATTTACGGCCGTCGACAAATATTCTCAGGTCCAGCAGTTACTGTCAAAGTGTTTGAAGACAATGGCTTAATCCGTCAATTCATCGAAGAGAAAGGTAACTAAAAAAATGGATCCTTTTAAATCAAAGTTCAAATCTTTGACATGAGTTATGGTTACTCATAACATTTAGTTGTTACTTTGCAAATGGCTCTTTTGAGTGTATTCAAGATAATCTCTTTTAGTACTTAAACCATATTCAAGAATCAAAGATAATCTCTTTTATCAGGAAACGGTAGAGTTCTTGTGGTGGATGGTGGAGGGAGTCAACGGTGTGCGATACTCGGAGGTAATCCGGTGGTTCAAGCGCAGAACAACGGATGGGCAGGGATTGTTGTGAACGGATGCATAAGAGACGTCGATGAGATCAACGGTTGTGACATTGGAGTGAGAGCTTTGGCTTCTCATCCGATAAAAGCGAGCAAGAAGGGACTTGGAGAACAAAGAGTTCCGGTTAATATCGGAGGGACTCGGATCTGTGATGGTGAATGGGTTTATGCAGATACTGATGGCATTCTTGTCTCTCAGATTGAGCTCTCCGTTTGAGTTTTGCTTTTCTTGTGTTTGCTTTTGTTCAGTTTTCAAGGAGAAAAAAAATAAAAACTTGGTTTGTGTTTCTTCTCTATTGTTCTAAATCAAACTTATGAAATCTCGTTGTTTATTACTTTATATATTAACCAATGTAGTAGTAGAAAAGAAAGAAAGAGAGCAAAAACATGATAGTATTTTGAAGTTAAGCACAATAACATGAGCAAGCGGAACTAGTGGGAGTAGGTTGGCAACCGCCACCTTTGTTTCGAGAACAACCGGCCATGCACATCCGCTCACATCTTTGATTGTCTTTTCTTGATTCACATGTTCCAAATTGTGGCTGGTTTACGCAGCAAAATGAGTTATCTATTTTCGAAGACCGCCACATCATTTCTCTTGCTTCACCACCTGCAAATACATAATACATACACGCATACGCATCCTTCATTTTCATTTCATTGTGAATGCAAAAAAAAAAAAAAAAAAACATTTTCTTAGAAGATTTGTATACTAACCGGAAAGTAAAATGAACAGAGCTAGGAAAGCAAAGAGGAGGAATTTCGAGTTGACCATCTTCTTTTTTGTATATATCTTTTTAGCTTTGTAAAAGTGTTAGTATGAGTATGAAAACTATAAGTTGAAAATGTGATATATATATACAAGTGTTCGTTCACTTGTTTGCTAAAAGAGAAAGAGATAACCAAGATCTTAAACGTATTATATACAGTTTAAGCACGAGAAATATATGCTGTTAGGGTTATAAAATATACGATTTTATTATGTTGGTCTCAGAAAAAAAACCATAATAAGAAAAGAGATCTACATTGATGTAAATGACATTAGCAAGTTTGCATAAAAGTATAAAACAGAGGAGATAACCTTCCTTAAGTTGAAGATCTGAATTCTAAACTTTTAAGCTAAATAATTTGTGCAATACATTGTTTTTATTTTTGGCAACATTTCAAACGTTTTGGTCCATTTTATGGCTGTCTCAGTTGTGATTTCATTCTCCATATAAAATGCGCTAAACTTCTTAGGAAGACATGGAATGTGCTCCACAATGATCGGCTTAATTTAGTTACATGCGAGACTGACCGGTTCCATTGTTATGCTTGTCATAGGATGTCCAATGGCTTCAGGTACAAAGATGAGGACAAGGTGTTAGATGTTCGATGTGGTTCGATTTCTGAGCCATTTTTCCATCCAAGTCATCCCAATCATCCCTTATTTCACATTCCACATGATCGTTCTATAAATTGCAATGGTTGTGGAGCGTATAGTGCATATCATGTCCTCAGGTGCATTGAAGATGGTTGTGAATTTAATTTATGCTTCGGTTGCGCCACTTTACCACAAGTTGTAAAGCACAGAGTTCACGATCATCCTCTCACACTATACTATGGCGAAGATGCAAGTGGTAAATACTGGTGTGACATTTGTGAGACAGAAACTGATCCAAGCAAGTGGTTCTACACGTGTAAAGATCACCATGCTAGTTTGCATACACATTGTGTGTTCGGAGAGTTTGGAGGGCTCATGCCAAGAACCACAGTAGAGATTAAGGACAAGTCATATGAGGTGGTGCTCAATGATAGTGTATCTCGCCCATTTTGTACCAACTGTAAGTCGCGGTGCTTATACCGTATCATGTTGAAGATGCTTGGTATCTCAGATGCGTACATTTGCTCTACATACTGTGCAATTACTTTCAATTAGATTTCACTGGAGGTTTTCATCTTCAAGTTCGTTTCCAATTCCATTATGCATTGGTTTCTTTAATGTATTATATTTACCATACTTGCAATCTTAATTTGATATGATCTGCTGTTCTTAACTCTTTCCTTATCTACAAAAAATTTTGTTTTTAAAACGAAAAACACAACACTACAGTTTGCCTCTCATTACACATCGATTTAACTAAGATACACGGTCTCCGGTCTATCAGTTTTACTGTTAAACACCATATGACTTTGATAAATAAGATTGTAATTATATCGAGAAAACAAAATGATACATGTAACATTTCCCTCAATAAGAAACAGAGCAACCAACATGAAGTTGTTCTCTAATGGGACTGCTATACTAATTAACACAATTCCCTGTTAGCTCTATTTACACAAATTCTCAAGACAAACCTGTCAGTTATTGTCGAATCGACCAGTTTCTCCCTCCGCTCTGCAAACTAGACGAGGTAGAATCAGATGCGAGGTAAGAGACACACAAATCCAACAGTTTGTCCTGAGGTCTTACATTCTGATTCTGATCTACTATCCAGTGATTGCTTCAGATTCTAGTCCTATTTCTAGATGATGATGCTTGAGATTCTAAACTAAGAGGCCTTCTTTGAGTGTAACGCTTTTAATATCTGGTCTGGAACTGTCCACGAAATCAAATGTCCAGCAGAATCACCACTCAGTAGTTGCTTCAGGTCGGTCGTTAGATGAAGAGCTGTGACAGGTTGCTTATGGAATGTAAACTCCTTGTGTAGAAGCAACTTGTATTCAGGCACATGATCCCTCAAATTTAGCCCTCCAGTTACGTTACTAGCTGTTTTGCACTCAGCACCAACTGGATCAGTGCAATGTACCATCTGCCACACTTTAAGCGCCCCGCTTTGATGACCAGTCACGTACCAGGTTGTTTCCAGCCAGTCAGAAAACGTCGAGCTTGTAACTGATACTATCAAGTCAGATGGCAACTCTGATGTGTTAACCACAGCAAGACAATCCCCATTGATGCTCCAAACCGCGAGTAAAGTTCCAGCAGCGGTTATGATTTCTCCTGAGAGGTCATTTATATAGATTGTGGAAACAGGAACTGGAAAATCAGGAAGCTGCCTCACAAAACTTAAAGAACTGAGATCCCATATGATAACTGTACAGTCATCTGAGCCGCTTGCAATCATCATGTAAGGTTGGCTTACTCGTAGACAAGTGACTTTGGCTGTGTGCGCACAAAGGGCTTTCTCTAACCGCAAACACCGTGAACCACGCGGGCCATCCTTGTTGACTCTCCACACAGAGACTAAACCATCGTCTGCTCCAGTGACCACAATGCGCCCATCGTGACTAACACCAGCACAGTGAATCTGGTTACCTTCATGGAGATTTTCATGAGTAGATAAGAGCTTGTCCTGGTCATAGCTCATAAATCTCAAGCTCCTGTCCGGGAAACCCCATCTTATGTATTTCCTATAGCCTCTCGGTTTCAAGACACAGTTTGAGGCGGCAACAAGCAACTTGTCATGGAAAGTGATGATCTGGTTTATAGATGATGAGCATTTACGTATCTCGCGTGGAACAAGATGCGTCGAGTGTTTCAGAGGGTGGAGAGGGAATTTTCTGTCTGTCCTTCTTTTAAGATGAGGTTTCTGAAATAGTTGCTTCGGCGTTTGTCCAAAATGATTAATCTGCGCTAATATTGATGCCTTCAACGTAGGATCAGTAACTGCATCAACGTCCACATTCCCCTCATAGGTATAATGATAGAAGACATTTACAGATTTTTCTGCAGCCTGAAAATAAACAGATGTTTGATTCAATATTTTAGAAAACAACATCACAAAAATAGTTTGATTCTCTGTTGACTACCAAAAAGGAGAACATGTAATGTAATGTACCTTTCCTCTCTGTTTGTACCCGAAGATGAGGTCTATCCAATGATGCAGATTCTCTGAAACGTAATCAGACTCCAAAGCTTCTCTGTGCTTGCGGATGAATTCACGAACACTGCCTCTAGCCCAAGGAGGTAAAAATACATCACCCACCTGAAATCATACAAGGAACTTGCTCATGACAGGAAAGACGGAGAAGTCAAAAGGTACATTCAATCATACCATTAGAAGTACGTAACCTACCTTTGCTCCGGACTGTTTTTCACCCAAATCAAGGTTAAATCTATTTTCTAAGAATTCGGGCATGTAGAAGAATTCAGGAATCAGTTCTTTCACGTCTGATGTGTTTCCTTTTCCAGATGCACTTAGCCAAGTTTCTCTAATACTATTGAAAAGTCGATCAGCATGATCAAATTGACCACCCTGAAGCTTCTGGTTTTCAGCACTGAACGGTGGGAGGCGAATAAGGTAAAACAGAACAATGCCAGCACTTGAATAGTGAGAACCATAATGAAATTTTGGCACCTCTGGATCATCCCAGCCCTCATATCTGAAATGAGAAAGGAAAAACGAAAGAATGTGAAACCCTTATCGGATACAAAACATAAACTAATCAAAAAGGCAAAACTGGATGGTGAAGAGTATAAGAGAAAAGAGCAATAGACAAACCGTTTCTTAAATTCTTCTTCTCCTTCAGGCGTCTGGCAACCCATTGGTTTGTCAAGATTGCGAAAACTCTTTGGATCTGACAAATCAAGACTCTCGCTATCATAATCTGATAGAATCCATGGAAACACCGGATACTGTGTGAGATCACTGTATCCACGTCCTGCTAGAGTGTTGAGATGCATTAGGTATTGGAAATTGCTGATCTCTCCATTTTGCCATCTTTTCGTGAAAGACTTTGCCATTAACTTGAAAAGACGACTACCCTCTTTACTTTCCTGTTTCGCTGATCCTGAAATGGTCGTATCGAGCCTGAAAACAAAACAGAATAAACAACAGATTTAGGAAGGGCCTCGTGGAGGAGGACACTAGGCTTTATAGTTCTCTGTTCTTGAGCTTTGCTTGACATTTTGATTTACTATTAGAGAAAAAAGGAATGTGCTGAGGAACAAGATGCCATACATGCGGTTCCTTGGAAGATTCATGGCAAGCAGATTTCTAAAGACTTCTTCCCTCTCTTTCTTGTGGAACACAAGGAGATCATTACATCCATCCATACTAAATATCTCAACAGCAACTGGACGCAGCTCGTAATCACGTTTCAAAATCTCATGAACATTATCTAACTTCCACCTACGCCAAGGATGTGGCAAGTTACCAGTCACACGCACTTTTTCCTTTCCCCAAGCCCCACCACCATATGCCCATGCTCTTCCCCCTACAGCTCCGGTTTTCATTGTTGTACTCCATAATGGGCTAGACTTGGACTGGACATCCAAGCTTCCGGTCAACTGTTTTTTCACACCCAAAGCCTGATCGATAATGGATAACTCGTCTTCACATTCCTTCTCACAGATACACCCATCATCGTTAATGTAAAAGTTCTCTATCACATATAGGCAGAGTTCCCCTATTAAGAAGATCCCATCATGTTTGTCTAAACCAACAACTCTCTCACAATTATATCGGAACCTAATCTTTTCAAGATGTTCCAGATACGGTCTGATCAAATACTCACCATCATCAGTCAGTTCCTTCTCTGATTCTTCTTCCTCCACGCTTCTAGTTTCATCCATTTTACCAGAAGATGACAGTCTTGGAGATACAGTCTCAGATTTTTCATCTGTGTTGTCGCTGATTAGAACAGATGTTGCACCACTAGAGTTGCCACCAAAATCAAGAGCATTATGAAGACTGGCCTCACTTGAACTACTATCTCTATCATTATTCCATCCATTTCTAGAAGAAGGAACATTTTTGAGATCATCAGCTTCTTCGAAAAAGGACTCGCTGTAAAGTTCACTTAGCAGGAAAGCTGGCTCACAATCCGTATCAGAAATAACCAAGTCATCTTCCTTTTTCGATTTGGGTAGCTCAATTTCTCCAAGTTCCAACTTCCCTTCTAGTAAATTATGGATGCTATCGATTTTCAGTTTACATCTTTCAAGCTTTTTCCGCATTCTGTAAGGACCTTCGATAGGACAGAGTTGCCATTCAAGATCATCACATCCTTGGGAGATACGCAGTGGGAATATACCACGTTCATGAACAAGCTGTTGAAGATGAGTTTGCCACTCGCTCTCAGCATGAAGTATCGAACCATATTTGTTTTGACGGACAATTCTAAGCTCAGTAGACATTGAATCACGCACTATTTCAAGTGCATACCTTCGCTCGTTTACCTGCTCCCAGCGTTTCATGTCTAACTTAGACACATCTCGTGATTTTCTACCCATCTCTCTCGTACGGCGACCATCCATGCCTTTCATCCTAACATCAGGAAACTTTACCGAGCCAGCTATGTACTGTTTCCACATAACTGCAGCTCCCTGCTCCAGTACTTTATTTACAGTTTGCTCCGAGCTCTCAAGCCACTTAGAGAATTCTGGAAGATTTCCACTTAGCAATCTATCAAATCCCCCGTGTAGAACGTCCAAGTTTTGTCCTCGGTGAGGTTTTTTGACAAGCAAATCCTCAAAAGCAGATTTTCGGTGGACCAGCAAATGTTTGACAATATTGGATGCCATGTTTTGCTCATTCTTTCTCTGATCATGGAGTAGAGAGATTAAATTCATACACAGACAGCAATTCAAATCAGTATCAAGATTGCTCGGGCAAAATATGATACTCTTGTTTGCAACCAACAATTGAAGAACTGTTGAGATATCAATTCCAGATTCCTCGATGCTTAAATTTGAAGATTGCCTCTTGTTAGATTCAACAAGCAAGCCCAGACGTGACAGTAGGTCCTCTTCTCCAATAGTTATCAAGAACGATGGTAGGAAACAATATAGTATTGCTCTATTTGTATTCTTCAGGATTGAGTGCACATACGCATCTAGTTGCCTGGTTGCTCTTCCAATGGATAACAGACCCTTCCCTGAAGAAGTGACTTCTTCAACCCTACCATCTTTGTTAGCCAATTGCAGAATCGAGAGCAAGAACTCAAGGGTTCTAAGGACTCCAGTTGGTTGAGGAAAAGCGCTCATGTAGACACGATCCACAATCATCCAACAAAATGCATCCAAGTTTGTAGACCATTTTCTTTTGTCTAGTTTTTTGTCATCCTCTTCATCATCACGCACGAGACGCCTTTCAAGATAGTTCATGACTCTGCTAAGGCATAAGCCTTGAAATACTAGAACACATTCAGGATCCACATATAAAGGAATCATTTCTAAAATGCTTTCCAAAGTCTGTACTGCTTTGATCTGCTCAGTCATTAAGTCGGCACATATCTCTGCTATAAAATCTAGCACGGCACTTGCTCCAGCAGAACACGGTCCACCACCATACCCAGACTCATCAGTTTCGAGGAGAAGTTTTGGGCTGATTGTAAATAATGTATGGGCAGCAGATAAAGCTTGTGAACCTGTCTTTTGATCTGAAGATGCATCAAACTCACTAACTGAGATATGCGACGGAAGAGGAGTGGCAATTGTAGAACTTTTGGATTCATTTGAAGCCGGAGATGGTGATGAACTGAATGGACCTTTGAGACTTGATTTTTCAGATAAAGGGGGAGACTCTAACATCGACAAGGATTCAGAACTCTGAGAATATGTTAGCTGAACTTGACTTGAACTACCTTTAAGATCTTGAAATTCCATTTCACTGGAAGCTGATACAGGGCTAACATGATCGCCATCTCGTCTCTTAACGTATTCACGACCTTGAAATGGAACTTTTGAATCCTCTGACGGTGTTGTAAGAATGTTCTCCACCTTATTAATACCCATATAATCTGAAGGTAAAGGCATGTCTTCATAGCTCACACTGACCTGCTCTTGAGGGAAGCTTCCAGCACTGATGGAGGTTTTCGTGGACTGGTCCAGGTCGTGAGGAAAGCTAGATAGAGCGCCTTGTGCTCTGCTATCACCACCGCCACTTATTTTCTGCTCTTCTGCTTTCATTGAGAGCTGTTTGGCCATCTTCACAGCATGAGCAGCCCTGCAGCATGACCCATATTTTGGTCAAATTTTGCAAAACATCTTGCAGGTCATACTAACTAGTAACTAAAAAACAAAGAAGTCTTGGTCTTATCCAGGACTCTCTGACATGCATGAATAGATGATAAGTGGAATAAAAATACTATATCTATGTCATGACTATAGAAGGGATGCAGAAACATGAGTTGAATCATGAATAACAAAATCATGTAACATCTATGTTCAGCATGTGGTACTGAAGAAATATACATAAACGGATGCAAACCTGACACAGGAAAAGTAAAGATCAGCACAATTTTGAAGAAAGTCTGCGCTTCTGCAAGCAGCTGAAAATTGAGGGCACATCTTTGCAAGATCAACCATGAAACGGATAACAGATGTCGCAACAGCAGGAGCTGATGCGTCGCCACCCATCAACCGTGCCGCGTATGTTTTATGCATTATAGCTTCCCCTTGAAGCTCTCCAATCATATCTGCATTTCCCTCAACAAGCTCAGCTACAAAGCTAGCGCTCATCTGTGAAAGGTTCCCAGACTGGTGGGCAAGCATTGATTGCATGATCAATCCGTCAAAAGTAGATTTAGCCATGGCAACCACTGAATCCAACAGCTCTACAAATTTCAACTCCACACGGTTTCCATCATTCGGCACTAGTGCATGAAAGTCTAACATCCGGACTTCAGGTAGTCTTGGATAAACAGATTTTCCAAATACCAAGCAGAACAAAATGTAATATATGTCTGGGGAATCATAAAAGCTTTGAAGTACCCGTGTAAGCCCCTGATAACCTCCACTTGTGAAAAATTTAAGAGAAAAGTTTGGGGAAGAAGCAAGACAAACACCAAGAAGAGTCATGATCCATCTCATACTAGTAGGATGCACAGCTTCATCAAGGAAGTACGTCATTAATTTTGACGAGACTATCTTATGCCACTGCTCCAGCAGTTCTTCTGCTTTTATGGTTACCTGGAGATCAATAAGCATTTCCAAAAGCAAATTCCTCACAACTACATGCTTTCCCATTGACTCTCGCAGTGATGAGTTCCGTGACTTTATTTCCGGTGGATTAAATGTCATAATCACAAACCTAACCACATTTTCAAGCTCAGAAATATGGAACCCATCTTCTAAGATGCATCCAAGAAGAACAACTAATTTTTCTAGGACAAGAACTTCCACATCCCCCCGTTGAAGTGTTACTAACAAACGTTCCACCAGATTGATTTGGCGCAGAATTGTAAGATTGTGACTCCTGTACCAAAGCATCGAGACTAGGTTCTCCAGAAAACCAAGTAAGGCGATCTGAATGGAAACAGGGGCTGTCACCCAGAGGGTCCAGTCCAGGAGGACATGTTCCACCATATCTGCATTGGATAAGACAATGCAGTTTGAAGTTTTAATAGGAACATCTCCCATTTCTATCTCAGATAAATGACTAAAAGAATCTTTGGCCCCGGGAATATCATCCATATAACCATGAGATCCAACTGAAGAAGTTTCATATTGAAACTTTGACAGACTAAGATCATCATAGCTGTTTTCAGGTGTAATCTCCTTAGGTGACATGCTAATAGTTCTTTGTCCACTCTCCAACTTCTTTGGCTCCGAAAAGAAAGCTTCGCATGCAGAAATTTGGAAAAATATCTCCAAACATTGCATGTCAAATAGCGCCATCTTGGGACGTAAAAACAGAGCCAGTAAATGATAGCCATTGTATGTTTCCATATCCTTTACATTCTGAGAATTCTGATGAAGGGCACAGGCGAGCAATGAAAGAGCCATACGTAGCATATCTCTGGATTCGGCAGCCTCAACAAGTGCAAGCACAACAGCTATTCCTCCCACATGGCGGATAGTATCGCCAATCACATTTTGTCTGCAGATACTCACATTTCCCACCAGACGCCCAAAACGTGGTATTCCTAAATAATTGAGAAACGTAGAATAAAGCAAAACTGAAACTGTAATGGACCAAAAACGTCAAATATGAACTAAATTATATACCTCCTAAAGGAGAAGCAGCAGAGGACAATGGGTCAACCAGATTGAGGAGGAAAAAACTTCCAGTCGTGCGCATGAACTCTGAGCATGTTCCATCAAATGCAAAAATAAGTTTCTTACCAGCTAACTGAAAGGAAAGACTTCCTAACCTCTCAAGATCCCATACAACCCCACTACCATCTGCCTTAGAATCGCCTTGTCTATTACTTTCGTCCAGTTTTTGGATATTTGACGACATGTCAGTGTCTAACAAGTCAAGGATAGCCATACTGCCCCCACCACAAGCCTGATTAGGCACGAAGCGTAAGAGATACGCATCCTGAAAAAGACCTTTATACCCTCTACCAAGAATGTACATGAAACCAATGCAGCCTGACGTGAGCACCTCCTCGAAAAGATAACATGAGCGTATTTTCCATGTCGAATCGCTTGCTCTGGCACAAGTTACCGGAGTTCCAATTGTTACTTGCAATGATTTTCCAATAGGTGAAGGAGAATAACCCAGTTTACCCATGTGCCTTAGTTTTCCATCAACATAAACATATGCGACGCTGGCTTGGAAGAGTCCAGCAAGAGCATTCGGCTTACTATGGACAACAGCAAGGTGATGCCACTTGCCCTCCTCAGTTTCTAATCCAGAAAATGACAAAGAATTTGAATTGCTCGTGGCAAGTGTCAGAATACCATCCTCTTGAAAATAAAGTTCTGCATAGAATGGCCTTTCATTACTTGTGGCACCAATAGAAAATATCCGGAAAACATTTTGTTCACTTTGCTGCCCACTCAAAATCTCCGTCTTTGATAACCCGCCAGCGTCATAGACTTCTGTTTCTTTTCCTTGGGTTGTGAAAAAGTTACGAGACTGGAACCAACAAACAAATGAATAACCAGCAGCAGGAGGCCAAGATCTTTCTCCCAGGGACACCTGAACAGAAGCGTGCCCAATTTTGCTCATGTCCATCTCTATAAAAGGAGCCAGGGAAACATAATCCAAACCTATGTCTTCCATGAGAATTAGCCTTTCCATCATACCTACTAGCTCGTGACCTGAACTTAGAACCCTCATTTGCAGAACATATCTACACAGCATTTTGAGCTCAGATGGGGACAATCTGCACCAGAATAAGACCGTAGTAACATCAGCCTAGAAAGATATGTAGTCGCCTTATGACAATGTATTAGATTTTTCGCTATGCTAAACTACCTGTACGCACCAAGAACTTCAACAATCTTTAAAAGATGAGAAAGAAATGGAGATGAACCCGGAAGGAATGAGTGGATAATCTCCAGCAGAAGTTCAACGCAACCTGCTCCATTATAATTTTCATTAGAGGTGAAGACGACAAGAGTGAACTACAAGGTTTAAAAGTTTACTTAGTTTCTGGGCCCAAGGAACCCTAAGACAAAGTTCTTACCAGCTGACGTGAGATTTTCCTGGTTGAATGGGCTGGCACGTGCAAGCCTTTGTAGAAGATTCAGAAGTTCCAACTGCATTTTTGGAGTAAAAAGCAACAGTGAACGGATCAGAACTCTGATAGCACCTGCATTGTAGATCCTCTGCTTGTCCGGATTAAATTGGCCAGATGGGGTTTTTACAAGAAAGCTTGCTTTTTCACTTTCTGCCATCTCAGCTGAGGCCACAGATTCTGATGTCACAAACGGTGGAAGCAAAACTTCAAGTGCGACTTCTAACAACAGTTGTATCACCTGTCTTTCCAGATCAACACACATCAAACCAGACTCCACCAAAAGATCATAAAATGTCTGAGATGTAATGACACTGTGCAGTTTCATCCTATTAACAGCATTCTCACAGACTGCAGTTGTCATGAGGCGCAATAGATGTTTGAACAATTTGATGCAAACCATCAAATGAGACTCATCCATGCACTCTCCTTCCCGGAACGTATGAAGGGTCGTCAATAGAAGAGAGAAACCAGTGACCTCACCAAACACTCTTTGAGCAGAGACATTAATCCCAAGAATACGCCAAAGAGCACCCATGGTATCACATATGGCTTCATAATGAAGCTTGTGTTGATGCCCAGAGATTCCAGTGACCACTCCACTCTTCAACACATCGATAACAGCTTCTAACTCTTCATGATGGACCTGGTTGGATGATAAGAAACGATTTACTCTTTACAAAAACCAAAAGATTTCTGATACCTATGCAACCAAAACCTCACTAGTGGCAGCATAATCTAAAAAGTAAAACGCCTTGCCAAGCTAATAAAATTAAGTTGACGTAGTTGATCAGAGAAAGAAGAAGACACACCGTAAAATAGAAATAATCAAGATACATTCCTTTGATCTAGTCTTACCTGTTTAACGTCTTCCGTGATTAAACATGACAAAATTCTCAAAACGCCAGTACGATGGTCATCGGAGGTTAATAATGGAAGAATAACGGTCACCCCACTGGCAGAACGAAAAGCTGCTTGATTAACTTCAGATTTCTGGAGTAAAGAGATCATACAATCCCAACCAACAGTTATAGTGCTTTCATCTTCAAAGATAGGTAACCTTCCTGAACCAGATTCTATCAGCTTTGGTGATGAAATGATGGCATCCTTACTATCTAGGTGTTGTTTGAAGCTCGGTGAAGTAGGTACCCGATCCAAATAATTAGAAACTCCAGTATATTGATTTGGACCCATGAGAAGCTTGTGCTGCTTCAGATCATCTTGTAAGACTTCCAAAACACCAACTTCACCCAGGACTTTCTTGTACTGTAGATCAAATGATGTGAGCTTTACAAAGAAAGAAAGTATGGTATGCTTCAACTCAGAATTGATTGGCTGTTGCAACAAGAAACAAAGAGACAACAGTTCTTGCTCTGGAACACAATTTACAACTGTGACAGCATACTCAAGAACTTTGAGGATTATCTCTTGCAGTGAGGAAGGAAAACCACCCATGTTCAGCACGAGAAGGGGAACAGTCCTTAATTCTTGGCACATTCTATAGTTTTCCGTATGGCTCGAGAAAATCTTGAACATTCGGTTTAACACTTCTGCCTGAAGATCCTTGTTCTCTGCTTTCAGAAAGATGTCTTGCAACATTTGGACAGCTTCAAGGTCTCTAACTTTACCACTATCTTGTTCCCTTCTCTCATCATACAGATTATTACCGGATGGTGTTTGGCTACGGCTATTTCCAGATGACTCAACGGGACCAGTCTGAGCCAGGGTGACAAGAACATCAAGCAATCTTGACAGTGAAGGCGAGAAATCTGGTGAAGCAAACTCATCATTCTCCCTACTATTCGCCGAAAGGGGTGGCTTTTTTTCAGAGTCAGCCGAATCATTACTTTGGTGTTGAGATGAATGGTTAGAAGGGAAACCCATAGTTTTTGGCATGGAAGATAGAATCAGGGCAAACTGTACAAGAAAATGGTAACCATGTGCATTTCGTATGTCCTCCTTGAGCCTAACCCCACCAGTTTCTACAAAATTAAAAAATTAAAAATATCAGCAGACAGAGTACAAATCCAAAAATAAGAAGGTGACTACTGAGTGTTTCTACTCTCCAGCTACATTTTCCACAGGCATTGACATAGTTTGAGTTCTTATGTATTTGTCTAAGCCAAAATTACCAGGTCTGTACGATAGTTCCACACATTCAAGTAACAAATCCACAATAGCCATTGTATAGGCTGGGTCCCCACAATCAGGATCAAAATCTTTGACAGCCATTAGGAGAACCTTTATCTGCAGGAAACTCAACAAAAAATTAGTGTCAAAGACGTTGAAACAGCGCAAGCAGCCAGACCACTAACTTCTGCCAAGAAAGCAATGTTCATATCTAGCATAATGACATTCTAGGTGCATACTTCTTTCACACTAAACGAAACCCATATAGTTGTACTTAGTTACAAGATCTAACTGGGGCATTTGTTCTAGTGATCTAGTGTACTTCGTTACAAGATCTGTTTGTGGCATTTGTTCAAGTGTTCCAGCTTCCTAACACAGATCCTTAAGTTCACAAACCAAGTGTAAGTATTTTTACAAAATACTACAGTTAGCTTTCTACAGAATTCATTGGCATACCAGATGGTGTTTGCGTATGTAGCTTGCCGTGCTCCCATTGTCATATACAAGAAGAAGCCCAAGAATCTGAAAGAGTCACGAAAGAAACTCACAATGAAACTTTAAGCATCACAACATTCGCTCTCAACATTGAATGGTCATGCTACAGGGCAGTTCGCAGCTGTTTTAGTATAAAAACACAATGCTCAATTTAAGGAACATGCGAGAAACAAGTTACCTGCATTGCATGTCTATGAAGCTGTATGTTATGGAATGAAACTAGACCTTCTTTATATTGAGAAAAAGCCACGACAGAACCATTGGCAACCATTTTGAAAAGTAACTGAAGGGAGTCATCTTCAGTCAAACTCTGTGCAGCTGAAGGGTGGCTTGCCAGTGCTTTCATGATGTGGACAATGCTCTCCTCCACCTGCAAGAATGACAGGATGAAACAGTTATAATGTAGAAAAATAGGTTATACTTGACTATGAGGAAAACAATTGAAATAGAACCTCAAGTGTCTAGCTTAAAGAGTACTACATCTGCCATCTTTACCTTTTGGTCATAGTTAACAGGTTTTTCACGTGCAGCGGCTAAACTATGTGTTAGAAGCGCATTAAGAGTGTGTATTAGACAACCCAATATCCCAGAATCCAGTAGAGATTGTTTGTCAATAGGCTGAAAAGAAAACACATAAGAGGTTGAGTACATAAATCAATACAGTCTATATATCATACAAGCCATAATAGAGCAAGCACCCTGAAAGATTTTCCATGGCCACAAAAAATCGTGTCGGAGTAACTACCAGGTAGCCATCAGATATTAGAACTCATAGTTGAGTGTTGTAAAATCATCTAACTGAGAGAAAAAATGGAAGATGTCTAAAAGTAAAAAAGGTACCCCAGATACAAGGACTTCAACAGCAGTTAAAAGGTTTGCACCATGACTGAAACCCTCCTGCAGGAAAAACGAAACCATGGATTAACATAGAAGAGAAGGTAACATGTCCTGGTTACTGTACTTAGAAGTTAGAAGGAAAGGCAAACCTTGGTGACTTCAGAAAAAAACTTTATTACTTTGTCTATATCCAGTGACCTTGTCTTGCTACTAATCTTTAACTTTTCAATATCTGTCACAAATGCTCTCCCAACGACGAAAGAGAATACATGTATTTCTACTAACCTGCAAATGAAACAAAATTTTCATATCGTATATCTGGGCAGGATTTTAAAGTACAGAAGAAGACCATCTAATCAAGGCTTTACTCATGTGAAGTCTCATCATTGACATTTATCTCCTAATTGATATGCAAATTTTCTCTTGGAAAATAGTAAAACTAGCCTTATAAGATCCAGACAGACAGAGAAAAAAAAGAGAGAGTTATGAATGGCTTACACGGTAACTAACTGATCTACGTTAGCATGCTGCTTCACTAGTCTACAAAACGTATTCACACTCAGATCCAAGGCGGCTTCTTTCTCCTAATAATGACATATACGAATGATTAGCAATAGCAAGTCGTGATTTGCCAGTTATTTTTATCTGAAGACAATACGTGACTATACACGAACCTGCTCAGAACTTGATGAACAAAACTCTTCCCAGCATCTTTTGAAGTCCATTTCCAACTTATGCTTCTCTCGGCTGTTAAAGAAAGTAAAAGGGAAAATCATTGACTGCTTATGCCAACATTGATCAGTCAAAGTGCGCATGATAATATTATAAAAAAAGTGGTACAGATATTGTTTTGGTCAATCACAAATTAAAAGATGAGATTTTTTTAAAGTGAAGGCACCACAGAAGAGTAAAATACCTTGTGGGAGATAATAAATTGAAGTCATGTTGAGCAGAGGCGGTGTAACTAGAGGACGGAGAAGCTGAGGAGGAAGACGGCGGATCAATGAGGAGGTCACTGGGAACGTCGCCGGCGGTTAATTCGGCGGGTGTTTCAGCTATTCCGACCTTCCCCTTTAAGTCCTTAACCAATGCTCCCCATTTCATCGTTCCGCCGTTTCGATTCCAGAAACACTCATCCGATTAACCTCAATGGGCCGCTCCTGAATCGATCCGACACGACCCGGATCCGAGTCGTCGATCAGAAATCAACCCGTTTCTACCGATTCTTCGATCAATCAACCCAGGCATCTAAATTCTGATAAGCTGGTGCAATGTGCGAAATTAGGGTTTGGTAACGAGAGCAAAATCAGAGATCCAAATTACGATTGGCGATTTCAACACCCCCACAACAACGTCACTTTAATACTTCCTCCTTCCTCCTTGATAATCTCAGCAGAACGCGGAGAGAAATTTTGCCAGGAGACGATGAAAATCGAGATTTATCGAACAATTTCAACGACGAAAAAAACTAATTCATGGGTCGATTAACGAGAGAAGATAACAAAATTCAATGTCCCATTTGTGATGTTTGTGCTGTTTTCTTCGTCTCCGTTTCTCCGCGCCTTGTTTCTCGCTTCAAACAAAAGTCAAAGTCGTCTCACTTTCTCCCTCACTCACGCGATTTTTTCCTTTATTTTAATTACCCTAAAATAGTAAAATTAAGCTCCAAAGGTTTTGTCTTAACGCCCCTGAAATGTTTTCATTTCATATTTTAACCCCGTTAGTCTTTACTAAGATAAACTAAATAGTCAGGTCCACGTAGACGTAATTAATTATACTACTATATTAATGGTCAGACTCAGACCAAGTCCACGTACACGTAATTAATTATACTACTATATTAATGGTCAGACCTAGTCCACGTAGACGTAATTAATTATACTACTCTATTAATGGTCAGACCAAGTCCACGTGGACGTAATTAATTATACTACTAAACTATAGTCTTTTAAGAAATTACGGCCCACACAATAGAAAAAGAAAAGGATCCCTCAAATTTAGGGATCTTGCTAAACCTAGCCGTGTTCCTGTGTTCATCTCATCTTCTCCATGGGAAAGGAGGGTGAGAGACTGAAGAGATGCTCCACATCCACCGATGTTGAAGCATCAGATCGTAAGGGCACGAAGCCTTTGGAGAAAGGTAAGAAATTTGGGTCAACATATATAAAGTTTCTGTTCCTGTGCTTATTCAGGCATATATGGAGTAATGGAGATATTTATTGATTGAAATTGTGTTATTTTTTCTAGCTGAGACAGAGCTGCTTAATTTGTAAAGCGATGTAAATCCGAAAAACGCAAGAAGAAATCTGAGATGGTCAGGAACTCAGTTTTGTCTTAAATTAACTTACTGCTGGTTTAGTTTCTGACCTAGTTGGTACGTACGTAGGAGGAGGAGGAAGAAGGAGAACCAGAGGAAACGGAGAGACCAGCAAACTATGAGTGCTGTTTTGAAACTCAAGATTCAAATGGAGGATTCGATGACTCTGGTGTGTTGGTTAGGGGATTTGATACTTCTCTTGCTAGGAATGATATCAAGAGCGCTGTGTGGAAACATTTTGAGTCAGGTGGATGTGAAGTCTCTAGGGTTTTTGTTCCCATAGAGTGTCACACCAGTGTTCCCTTGGGATTTGCTTTCGTTGACGTGGATGATAATGAAAAGGCCTTATATTTGGGTGGTTGTTACGTGGGAGAATGTACGTTTCATGTTGTTATGGCTGGAAGTCAAAAGGAATCATGTTGCTTCCCTAACTTTCGTGGGTGTCGAGATTGTGGTACTTTTCTTATTAAGCGCCGTCGGGAAAGACGGCTCCAGAGCAGGTGGGAACGTTGGTAGCCTGCCTATTGGTCGCTGCACACCTTAGCGTGCAATTTAGACACATTATTTTGATTTGGAAGAGCTGTCCAAATATATGATTTATCTGGCCCTTTCTTACAATATACTCCGATCGTCATGCTATTATCCGACTCCATCCATATTCGAAATGTTTTTAACTAGAGTCAATCATTTCTGTTTGGTGAAGAAGGATCTAGTGAAATTCATCGAATTATATATTTGAATTGCAAATGCTTTGCATGTCGCAAAGCCAAAGATATGCGTGTTTGATTGTTAATCCCTGAGTAAAAGGAAATTTTATGCAAATGATATTATTTATATGTATGTGTGTGTGTTGTTATTGCATAATTTACATCGATCTAAAATTCAGTCACAAGTACACACAAACAAAAAAAAAAAGCAAAGGAAAAAGGACGCTGTATGGAATGGGGACTAAAGAGCTCGTAAACAACATACTAAAAGGAAAACTATATAGATACCATTAACAATGTTCTTTAATTCATCTTTTGACTTTTGGTGGTCGCATGTTTTCTTTATTTGTTTGGTTTAAAGGTTTCGCATGTTCGTTCATGCGTGTGTCCACAAGCTCTTTGACCTTCGTTTCCTTTAATCTTTTTCTGCTTTATATTATTCCTCGTAGTTTTCCATATATTTTTTGTTTGGTTCCTTCTCACCCTCCTTCTTTATATAGGTGCTTCTAATTCAATTTGATTTGATTTGATCCGTAACATATAGTTACATAATATTTTGTGGTAACCCGTTAGGGAATAATTTTGTAATGATTTGTAAGTTGTAACTGTGGTGATTGGTAAATTAGCAACTATTCATCACATTATGGGATGAAAATGATTGTACTGTACGTGTTTTTGTTGGTTGCTAATGGTCTAGTGGCAACATAAATGACCATCAATAAATAAGATCCATTGTCCCTGATTTATTAGTGATTGCGATATAAATCTACTAACAGCAAACAGAAAAACGATAAACATTCTTGTGGCCACCTATTGCCAAGTTTGAGTTAACGATGATTTCAATTTGTCATCATATAAATGCATAGTATATGATGTGTACATTAACTTAGATATGATTGTATAGTATCAAGCCAAAAAACAAAACAAAAAATTGTATAGTATCTATCACAATCAAAGAAGCTGGCTTTGAGAGGACACATTCGTCAATCCCTAGAGGTGCAGTTTGTGGTGGCCTTTACTGATCCAATTATTTCTGATGTCATGTGGAAAGATGTATAATGTTTTTTTCAACATAAAGATGTACTAGTGTTCATGTAAAACTTGATAAAATTTTAGAACACTAATTCTTATTAACGGATTCAAAGGGAAATTCAAATTGATTTTTTTGTTAAAAGGAATTCTAAATGTTTCACTTGGACGAATAGATTTGACAAGAAACTCCAGAGTAAATTAACTATAGAAATTTTTAAAAGCTGTAAAAATTAGAAAATTAATTTGAAAAAACAATCCCTAGAAAAGCATAGCAACCAAAAAGATATGCTCTTTGTCTTTGAGTTCTTGTTCCCGAGAGTAAACTAGAGAGCAACAGAAAATAAGATTCCAGTTTTAACCTTTTACATATTGTGGGTCTCAGAGAATCCCAGATCGTAAGACTTCTGAAACGACGACGACTCGTGATGATGAGATTCGGTATCGTACGCCGACATCATAGGAAACGCCACGCCACCTGCGTACTCTAGCATATGACCGGGTCTCACGCTAAGGTGCATTCCATGACCCGTGAGTCCAAGAAAGTCTCTGGTCAAACGGTCAGCTTTCTGCCACGTGGAGGTAAACCCATCAACAACCAGCTGGTCGTACTCAGACGACGAAGATGGCGTCATCATCACTCGGTCTGCACCAATAAGCTCGTTGGCCTTAGTCAAATGTTGGTGATGACCAATTGACCTCGTTTGTCCTCCGCCGCCGAAAGCGCCGGAGCCGAGAGCGGTCACTTTTTGGAGGAGAGCCGTCGCGGAGAGAGCAGCCGTGGTGGACGAAGAAGCGGCAGCGGCAGCATGTGGTGGGTCAAGGTATAGAGGTGACGTGAAGAGCAAGGAAGAGGTAGAATTATTGAACTTATACTGACGATCTTGGAAATTAGGGATAGGGTTTGTCGTGTGATCGGAGGAAGAAGATGAGATGATTCTTGCACTTTCTATTGCTAACGCATCACAAAACGCTCTGTGCGTTATGAAACTGTCTTTCCTGTTTACAAAAATTTCCAAAATAAAAAATTATATATGATGATGAACAGTTTATGTATATACATATACACCAATCGATGATGATGCAAGGCAAGAAGTGAAATCATTGTGGACCACACAGAGAGGAAGAAGTTTCAAAATTCCAAGAAAAGCTTTTGAAGCCTGTATCATGTAGAAGTGGACCAATGCAATTCAAACATATCAAATCAAATCATAGAATACAAAATCTTTTACCAAAAAACAGAAAAAAAATAAATCGAAGCAAGATTCTTTTTCAGCATGTGATGAAGGAGAAGATTCACCTGTAGGCTTCTTTTTACATACAATAAGAAACTAAACCCATTTTATTGGACACGAAATTTATAAATACACACACAAGCTATAAAACTGCATGACAATCTCAAAACATAGAAAATTGGGGTTTTTCCAGAAAAAGACTAATTTTAGATGTATATTTTTCATGTTTTCATATATATATATAGGCATTAATGGATAATCTGTATATGTGTCTCAATCCATGAATTTTGCCACTGCATTTACTTTGAACTCAAACTATATTCCATGGACAGACACTAGCAGTTTTATCAAAGAACATAACCAAAAGAAGACAACTGAATTTAGTCACACGAAAGCATTAAATTTCTATACATATACAACTACACTACATTTCAAGAAAAATGTTAGATTCACATATAACATGTGGACTGCTATATCTATATATGTAGAAAATAATATAGATTTGCCACAGAAACACAGTAAATATATCAAGAAAAACAAATCAACTAGGAACAAAGAAAGATCTTCACATGAGAACAAAAAATAACAAAACTAAAAATAATTCATTTAAAAAGCTTACCTCGAGAAAAGAGTGCCACAGTCACATCTATACTCTCTTGTACCACAGATCTTAGAGTGAGCTTTCCAATCAGATTGAACAGCATACAACTTTGAACACTTTTCACATTTCCATTTCTTCTCCCCATGCTTCCTGCAAAAGTGTTTCTTGATCCCTGTGAGATCACCGAGAGCTCTAGATGGGTGATGATGAACACAGTTTGTCTCGGGGCACACATAGACTTTCTTCCTCTGCTGTTCTTTGTTGTTCTTCTGCTTCAGCTTCCATGGAAGATTGTGGCCTCTCCTGTGAAGCTGCAGATTCTGATCTCTCTGAAACCCTTTGTTGCATATCTCACAGACAAATCTGTTCGTCGCAAGAAGTGCCTTTGGTGATAATGCTATTACCTCTGCGTCTGGATCTGCCAAAACAACCAGTTTCACACATAAGGAAATTAAAACAAGTCTCAAACTTTGAACATCACACATTCTTGGTAAGAAAATATGATTTTGATAAAAGCCCTAATTAAAAAAAAGAAAAAAAAAGGAAGACTTTTTACAAAACCCAGATGAAAAAGGTTCCCAGATTCCACTAGTAATAAAATAACCCATATGTATAAAGTTCTCAGATTCTACTAGCTAACAGTCAAAAACCGAGAAGAAGAAAAGGTTCCAAGATTCTACCAGGAATCAGAAACCAGATAAAAACAGTTAATTTATACAAAAACCCAAATTAATTTAGTAAGGCCACAGACTATAGAAATAGAGTAAAAAGATAAACTTATTTTACCAGGATTTCCAGGAATGCCTCTTCTTTTCTTAGTCTTCTGAGCCTCTGTGTGAGAACGAAGATTGGAAAATACATTCTTCAAGGCACTAAAATCATGGACAGCACTGAGTGAGTTACCAGAAGAAGCACTTGCTTCAGAAGACAAAGAGCTTAGTTTAAAGGACACGTTTTGAGATGGAAACATATCCATGGAGGAAGAAGACTCCAACGGAAGAAAAAACAAAAACAAAAGTTGAAAGGAAACTGTAAAAAGATCCAAACTTTGTTTTGTTCTGATCTCTCAAAATAAGGACCTTTGATCAAGTACCTAGAGAGAAAGAAGTTTACACAGAAAGACATCATTCTTTGGCTATATATGCAGGAAAACAAAAAATAAAATGATTAATTTTATTATTTACTTTTAATTTCTTGGATGTATTATGCATATACACATTTGTATGTAATGTTTTCAAAAGCAAGAGGACGACCATGATGGATTATTCTCCAAGGTCGCTATCAATATTTTGTACATATATTCATATATGTGTGTGCTTACAATAAATGCAAAGACTGTTTGATTCCCATTTTCGTATTAATTTTCTATGTGCAGATAAATGCCACAGATGAGAGAGAGTGAGTGTTTGAAAGTGAGACTTTGACTTTATTTTCAAATACTTTTTGTTCTTTTGTTTTAATATATATTGCTTGTTTTTTTATTTCTATGTTGTTTTCTAAAAAAAAAAAAAAAAAAATCTGGAGACTCTTCTGCATCACAGAGAAGAGTGATGATTACAGGACCAGACTATCAGCATTTACTTAAAATTGTCTATTAAAAAGAAGAGTAGACCCCATAAAGAAGCAAAGCAAGCTATCAGTTTGTACAATTGATTGAAAATATTGCGAGATAAGACTTAGCAGGCTTAATTGCCTTAAATGGAAGTAATAATTACCTTTATATATCAAGAAAACGAATCCATTTTTTTCATTGGGTATGTATAAAGGAAGTGTTTTTGTTTTGTTTTAGTTTGTAAGAGAATCTAAAACACAACAATACTTAGCCAAAAACACATTGTTCTTATAATAAAGAACTCTTGAGGAATACAATAAATATGTATATTACTTTTCATATATAGTCAAAGGTAGCTAAATCTCTCGTATACTATTTTTTTAGAAAATTTATGTTTAGTGGAGTGGATCGTATAGTTTCTCTATGATATGCCATACATCGTGTTGATTAGTTGTAATAGTTAGTGAGACTCAGATTCGAATATCTTGATAGTTTGCTTCTACATATGACTTGTTGAACTATCATCACTACTCAAGAAATCCAACTTTATTAAAATGTTGTCTATATTTAACGATGAGTTACGAGTTCCATAGCATTTTTGTTCAGTACAAAATTTCGAATCATTACCGAGAACATAACAATATTACCTGTTCAATTTTTTATAATTTTTTTTTAAAATATTTTAAACTTTAGGGATATTAATTCGATGTTTTCATGTGAAAACGCTATAAGATCATCATTTATTTTATTTCAAACAATTAATTGTCGTCTTATCAACTTATCATCATGAATTGATTTGACTATTTGAGATTTTGAGTGATGTTACCTCATTCGACATCTTCCATTTCTCCTAGACCGAACTTGAGTTTGAAACAAAGATATACAGTAATTTCACTGTCCATATAAAAAAAAGAGAGAATTATAGATAAATAAAATAAGGTATACAAAGCAACCAATCCCCTAAAAGCTTTTTGGCTTTGAATATCAAAATGGAATATTTTAATTTATTGAATTTTTGTTTCATCTTCCTATATATGATTTTACTCTTGTGGACAACTTTGTGCTATCTTCATTTCTTTTTCAATTTACCTTTTTAAGTTCTTATTATTCTCATATATCCCTTTGAAAAATGTTCATGCCCAAAAACTTACCCCACCAACAAGAATTTTTCGCACTCTTTCATCCGTTCTTTAACTTTTTTATCTCTTGAGATTCTATAAATATATTCCAATAGAAAGACACGAAGAACATAAAGTTTGTTAAGTCGATTGTACCCCTTAGACGTGTCTTGTACGTCCATTGGATTCACATAGAGGCGTGTCTATTTTAGACTTTTTCTGTATATGATTAGAATCCTCTTAGGCCAAAAACATGTGTGATCCTCATGATTCATCGAGCGTTACTAGTCTAAAACCATGCACACCGAATATTCTTGTTTTTAATTTTCAAAAAGGCTTTTTTACATCTGCTAAAAATGCTTTAGCATATATGCTACATGTAGGAGATAAATATACAAGTATATTCAAACTCTCGTAACAAATATAGGGAAGAAGCTTAGCTCATTTGAGGAGAGAAAAATACAAAAGATTAACAATTGCAATAAACACAATATTTTATCACTCAACTGTAGAAATTTTTCTCTTAATTTTGGCATAAATTTGAATGGTTTTGTAAGAAAACATGAGCTAATTAGTAGCTCACTACCCAATTCATATACTGTTTTGTTTTCAAGTTTTTAGGCAAGAGAAAATTTAGATTGACGAGGATATAGAAAATCTTTTCAAAAAATCGATTTTAAGGAAAACAACAACAAAGAATATAAAAAAGAGTGATAATAAGAGAATACAAGTTTACAACAATTTCAGAGTTTTACAAATTTTCACACTTTACCATCATCACCAACTCCAAGCTTCGTTTGCGTTCAAGGTTCATGGCTATTAACACGGCTATGTAGCTCGAGCATCTCTTGATGATTAGGATCAACCGAGAGCGCTGCACGACAGTCCCTCAACGCACTTCCCACATCCCCAATATGCTCGTGGAAAGCCGCTCTCAAGTGAAGAAGATGAAGATCAGCTTTAAAGGCAATAGCTCGAGACAACTCCGCAATAGCCTCTCTCTCCTTCCGACTATCCATCAACACTAATCAAAAACCACAAAAAAGAAAGACCAAAAATGGGATTTTTAGGTTAAGCCAATTGAATGAAAACAGAGCATAGCGTAAGAGTAAAGAAATGTAAAAACCTGCTGCTCTGTATCGGTAAGGATAAACCCTAAGAGGATCTAACCGAGTGACCATTTCAAGATCAGATTTAGCGAGCTCACGGTCGCAGTACTCAGATCTTTTCTCGTACGCGGATGCATTGTTCTGAGCCTTCTCGATCAGTCTGGTCATCTCTTCGTACGCTGCAGCTTTGTCGTTCCTAAGGAAATGCACTCGAGCTAAGCCTTGGTGCGCGCGCGTGTGCCTCACCTTCAGCGCGTTGATATAGCAATCCGCAGCTAAGTCTAGCTTCTCACAATCAACATAGACGCTCCCAAGATTGTTCAGAGCCTAAAAACAGAGCATTTTCTCAGCATTAGCCCTAAAAACAGAGCATTTTCTCAGAATTAGCCTAAAAACAGAGCATTTTCTCAGAATTAGCCCTATAAACAGAGCATTTTCTCAGAACTAGCCTAAAAACAGAGCAATTCCTAAATGTGGTAAAATGGCGTCAAATAGAGAGCTCTGGTGGTGAACGAACGAGCCGTACCTGACCTTTCCGGAGCCTATCAGAGGGACATTTAAGAGCGTCTTCAAGAAGCGAAACAACGGTCGAAGAACTCGATGGATCGAGGCTAGATTCTGCTAAAGCATAAGCTTGGAGGAAATAAGCTTCAAATGATCTCTTTATTCTTATGGACTCTTTAGCCTTTTGAAGCCCTTCTTCGCAGTGACCAGTGTCGTACAAGATCCATCCTTCATACACCAGACGCTCGTGTTCGCTCGACGCGTGCTCTCGCGCTAACTGTAAACTACGCATCGCCGCTTCAGGACAATTCAACCTGATAAAAAAACAGAGAGATTACTCCAAAAACCAATCCTTTAAGAATGTTGCAATTCAAAGATTGTTTCTTTATTACCTTAGGAGAAGCAGAGACTGTCTAAAGTAGAGAACACCTTTAAAAGCATCAGCTTCAAGCATTTGATAGATGACAGAAAGAGAACCAATATCATCAACGTTCGACCATTTCTCATAAAGCTGCATCCAACAATCCGCAGTCGTCCAGTTCTCTACATGCTCGTAGACAAGCGTCCTCAGCTGCCTCGCAGCTACTTTCCCATCAAACATTCGATAGTCAGGACACAGAGTAAGCACAGCTTGGATATCTCGTAGAGCCGCTTCGTAATCATCCATACCGAGGTAGAGACAAAACCGAATCTCCAAGCATTCCAACGCCAGCTTAAACCCCAATATCCTGTTGATTTCCTCTAACGCAGCCTCGGCGTTCTGTTTAGACATTAACGTGACCGCTCGGTACATGTAAGGATACGTCAAAGTCGGGTCCAGTTCCGTCGCTTTCGCAAGATCCTCAAGCTTCTTGTCACCTTCACAGTATAAAGACCTTTCTTGATACATCCATCCGAGAGGAGGAGGCGGCGAAGAAGAAGAAACAGAGGAGATAACAGAGCTTAGCTTCTCGTAAGCCCAAAGCCTATGGCCTTGGATGTAACCTATTCTCGCTAAACCAGTAGCTGAGTACACATGACCTAAATTAAAAGCGGTTTCAAAGGCTTCTTCTGCGTCACGGTACTCTTTCCTCAACATCCTCACACAACCTAACCGATGAAACCCTAACACTCTCTGCCGATCATTCTCCGCAAAGTCGACAACTTTCTCCAAAAACCTCAACGTTCTCTCAGACTTAACGTCTATACGCATCGAGACTTCGCTTAGACAAGAGTACAAAGCGAATGAAGCTTTTCCCGCCATTGTTGAGACTTGACATCTACTAACCCTAGTCAAAACCTCTACAACACGCTCATCGGTTAAGCTTTCAGGCATCTCGTAAAGAAAGACTTGCAGACACGACGCAGCTAAGATAGGAGAGCTCTCTTCGAGCGCAAACTCCATAAGCTCAATGGCACATTCCATCGAAGAGATCAGAGAAGCTAATTCTCTGTCGCAAGCATCTTTAAGCCTCTCGCAGCAGAACTTGTTTGCGAAAACCAAAACTTCCAGTAACAGATTCTTGGAGACTCCGATCAACACACCAACAACGCTGAAGTCTCTGACCACACACATAGCTGAAGACGAGACATGATTCTCTGACATATCTATCTCATCAAGAAGCGACTCCGTGAAGCTCCCATAGAGCATGGCCTGAAATGGAGCTGAAAGACTCGCGAATTTCCTTCTGTCACAAGCTATTCTCTCTTCTCCTATCTTAAACACAACGGTTTTCGATATCTTGCGCTTCAAGTTCACAGAGGAAGAAGAAGAAGAAGGAGCCGTAACTGGGACGTAAGATGCAATATCCAACGGAACGAATTCTTCAGAGTATTTACCACAAGAGGAAAGCAAATCTGTGATAACTTCTTCTCCTTGCTTCTCATACCTTAACCAAGAACCAAACACAACTCTTTCATGGACTGTTGTAGCTTCTTGCCAAGCTGATTGTAGGCTTCTCCGTCTGAGTTTGGTCTCTCCAAGACCTCTAAAGACTTGATACTGCAATAAGTAGAGAGTCGATCTCTCCTGTAAAGGGCAGGTCTCGAGTTCTTCATGAATCTGAGCAAGAACTTCTACGTAGTCAAGAGGTTTGTAATGCGGAAGTATCTGCGGCTCAGGGACTTTGATAAATGATTCTCTGCACAGTGGACTACAGAAGAGTAAAGTGTTAAACTTTATTATAGCCAACCAATTAGAACAAGCAGGGGAATAGAGAAAGAGAGAGACTTACGCAGATGAAGAAGCAGAGGAGGAAGAAAGCTTCCCTCTCTCAACTTGAAGCCATGACTGTGGATTCAAGGAATCGAGCTGTGATTCTTTACAAGAATCAGATGGGTAAAATGTCCTCATCTGACATAAGAGATGAAACAAATCCCAGATCTCCAGGATAGCCAGAGGATACTCAACACACTGATTTTCAATTCCTTCTCGATTTCACAGTACACAGAGCCCAGAAACTAAGTGAAGAAGATGGGTTCCTCTATACAAAAACGAGATCTTTCAACACCTAAAGCTAATTCCTTTATCTATGAAACCATTTCTGTGCAGAGAGAACAAAACCTAAATACATTAATGGAAACCACGAAACTCACTCGGAATCGCCATGGGACAGATACTATTGGAGGAAATTAAGGGAATAAATCAGTGTGATAAACCAAAATTAGAGCTTTCTCCAGAAAACCCTAATCTTCAGACTTCAGCTTTGGTAACACAATCTAGTAGCTCTAGCAAAATCGAACTAAAACCCAGAAAAGTCAAAGAGAAACCAAACAAATCTAGGATGTCTTAGAGAACAAAAAGTAAGAATCTTTAAGCACTGAGGCGAGAAGAGAGCAAGAAAGAAACCCTTGTGTTTCGTGAGCTTCTTCAATTTCTCGTACGGAATAGAAAAAAATCAAACCTAGACAGAGAGAGAGAGATGGAGAGATGGAGAGATAGAGAGGTAAGGGAACTTCTTTAATGGAGAAATGGGAGCAAAGGAGATCGAAATGAAAGATGTAGATTGAGCAGAGAGTAGGAAATAATTTCCAAATTCACACTTTTTTTCAATTGTCTGAGCTGTTTTGTTTCATCGGTAAAAGGGAAAGTTTTTCTTCTTTTCTCATGTTTTTTTCTCATATCCTCTCGTCTCTTTTTCTTTTTCGGTGAAGATCTCCACACAAATCAAACAGTAACCACCACTATCGCCTCTCCGGCCTCTCTTCTTTTTTTTGAAAAAATTACCAAAAAAAGTATTTAATTGTTAATTAATACAGTATGAATTAGTTAAATTACTAATTTTATATAGTCAGCTACTTTATAACCAAAATATAGATGTGTAAAATACTAAAATGTAAATTGATCAGGAGTTTTAAGGTATTTCTGTATGTTTTATATACAGTTTAAATCATTAATATTTTTTGAACAATCAGCATTCTAAATTCTCAAATAATTTCGAGAGGAATGCTAAAAGATATTACAATTTATAAATTTCCCATATTTATACCATTGTTTAAATCCGTAACATTACAGTTACTACAGTACTACTATACGAGTTCGGTAATTTTGTTACAAAACATATCCAACCTTTAAACTAAAAATACTTTGCTTTCCGACACAACATCAAAAGGAAAGACAAATCTCACAAGTGCAGAACCATCCTTGTCACGAGTTAATGCTTATTCTCCGGTCACCACGTGTCATCTCCTCCTTAACCGGGAGCATTCTTGAACTTTCTCCTTCTTCGCACACAACCGCCTTTTCTAACAACTTACAAAAATCCAACATTTTCTCGCATTTTCTCGTGACCCAAAAACGAAGAATCCAAAGCAAAGCAGAGCAGCGATTCAACTTCCGTTTCATCTCTTTCCTCTCCGATCCTGATACAGTAATCTAAAGAAAAGAGTTGATACCGTAAAATGTATCAGTGGAACTTACCGTACCGGAAAGATGACGTGGAAGCCGGCGGTGGCTCAAGGCCTTTATACCCAACTATGCTTGAAAATCCCGAGCTCCGGTGGGGATTTATACGCAAGGTCTACTCCATAATCGCCTTTCAGCTTCTAGCCACCGTCGCCGTCGCCGCCACGGTGGTCACCGTCCATCCAATTTCTCGGTTCTTCGCCACCACCGGCGCTGGATTAGGTCTCTACATAGTCATCATCATCACACCCTTCATAGGTAAAAAATTAAATAATAACACACTTCATTAAAAAATCAAAATTTAAAATTTTAAGTTTTATTGTCAACTAAGATTTGGATTTTGTGTGTTTTCCGATGTTCAGTGTTGTGCCCGTTGTACTATTACCACCAGAAACATCCGGTGAATTACTTTCTCTTGGTGATTTTCACTATGGCTCTGGCTTTTGTCGTTGGATTGACTTGTGCCTTCACCAATGGTAAGATCAAAACATTTTTGTGTGTACTCAACTGTTGATTATTTTAACTTAGTTTTAGCACATCTGATCTCTCCAGGTTTTTCTTATGTATTCAAGTGTTGATTCTTGTTTTGATATCACTCAATGTTTCTGGTTCCATTGTGCTGTGTGTTGGAACAGGGAAAGTGATTCTTGAGTCAGCGATCTTGACAACGGTTGTGGTGCTTTCACTCACCTTGTACACATTCTGGGCTGCTAAGAGAGGATATGACTTCAATTTCCTGGGACCTTTCTTGTTCGGCGCTCTCCTCGTGCTTATCGTCTTTGCCATGATACAAGTAACACCACTATTTTATTCTAGTTTTCACCATAAGTGAGAGTTTTTTTTTAGGCTTATTAGCTTATGACATGTGGTAGTTTCGGTAGCATTTCTTGGGCTACAAGAAGTTAGGAACATGTTTTTTCAGTAGAAGTTACAGATAATAAGAGGCGTAGCCTATTCCATGTGGCAGTTTTGGTAGCCTTATTTTTAGGCTAGAAGTTAGAGAGGGAGAGTTTTAGGCTTATCTTGTGAAATGTGGAAGCTTTGGTAGCATCTTTTAATTTCACTATAGGCATCACAAAGATTGAGAGTTTTAGCATATTCAATGTGGTAGTTTTGGTAGTATTTTAGGCTAAGAAATTAGAAACTTGATTTCACTAAACATTAGAGAGCTTTTATACCTATGAAATGTGGTAAATTTGGATTGCATAACCGGGCTTCGGGTTTTTGGTTTATGTTTTGCAGATTTTCTTCCCATTAGGGAGATTGTCGGTGATGATCTACGGTTGTTTGGCATCGATAATATTCTGTGGATACATAGTCTATGATACAGACAATCTGATCAAACGTTACACATACGATGAGTATATTTGGGCAGCTGTTTCGCTCTACCTAGACATCATCAACCTCTTCATGTCTCTTCTTACTGTCTTTAGAGCCTTGCAAAGATAATCACATTGAGTATGAGGTCATTAAACTCTCTTAAAAATGTTATAAAAATAAATACGCCGGAGATTTTTTCCGGTGTACCAGAATCTAACAATGTTTGAGATTTGATCATTTCGAATCTCACATTTCTAAAAAATCATTATATTTCCATCAAGACTTCAAGAGTTAAAAAAGAAAAACTAGAGTCTGTTATTAAAATGCAACTACTACTACCGCGTTTGCATTTAAAAACACAATCGCAAACGCTGTTAAACTTCGACTCTTCACAAGAATAATAGTTGTTTACTTGCAGTAAAGTAACAAGAGTTTGAACAAGTTCAAGGAGACAGCGGAGGCTGAACGCAACCGCAAAACACGGCCCGTTTCTTCGTCGTCGTCTTCTTCATCGATACGCTTCTCGATCCACCACCATAGATATAATCCTTAAGAAGAACTTTCGATTTGGTATCCGAAATCTTTGACCTAACTCTCTTCTCTTTCTCTCCTTCAAGCTTCATCAGCAGAAACTGAATCCTCTGTATCTCCAACTGTAACCTCCCAATCTTCTCTGATCCTCTTCTCGCATGTTCCGATATTCTCCTCCTCCGATCACTCTCCTTCTCTGTTTCAGCTTTTGTCGTCAGCTTCCGATTAACGTTAAACAGCTTCTCTATTGCCTCCTCTGCTTCTTCCAGCTGTTCTCTGATCGTTTCATATTCGTCTCCTCCTCCTCCTTTCTTCTTCCCTTTCTCCTCAGTTTCGACTTTCTTTCTCAAATCTTCTACAGTGATCTGAAGATTCTCCAGCTTCTTTAAATCCGAATCAAGCCTATCAAGAACTTTCCTCTTGTTGACTTCTACGTTCGGATCCATGAATCCGTCGAAAATCTCTAGTTTATCAACAACCAATGACTCTTCAGACAAGGATTTACCTTTCGCCTTAACCGCAGTTTCTGTCCTGCGAGTCTTCACAGGCTTTAGCTCAACAAAACCGTGACCCTCAAGCTCCATAGTGCCTTTCTTGCTTGTAATCTCATATGATGATCCATCAGAAGTTGGATCAAGCACAATATCTTTCATCACCATCTCGATTTCGTGACTCGGCTTCCGCGTTTTGCCGCCACTTCCTCCTTCTAGCTTCCTCATGCTTCTTCCTCCACCGGTTTTCAACTCTTTCACTTGTTTCAACGCTGCTTCGAGCATAGAGTAAGCATTCGTGTTCTCAAGCACCAACATTCTTTCCTTCTCCATTACTGCCTCTGCTAGAGCTTTGATTCTCAAACACATATCTTCCAAACTGGTGAATTCATCCATTGAATCAGCTCCTCCCTGGAAAAAGAGATCAAACGTTCATATTCTTCAGAAACGGTTTATTTCCATCAAAGAATCAACTTTATAAGTGGAGATTTGGGAAATAACTTACGTTTGAAAGTTTATCCTCGGATTCAGGGTGAACAAAAACATAATCCTCCAATGATTTAATGCTTTCATTCAAGAAGACAAGAACTTGGCTTCTTTTAAGCTTTTCCATGTCCATGTCTTTTGATGAGCTTCTACTTTCAAGATCCTTGCAGGCTTCAGCTAGCTCGTGAGTCATTGCTTCAATCAATGTTTCATGTACACACGAGATCTGCTTGTCACAGAAGAACGTTGCAGCTTGAGATTCCCATAACTCAGCCTCACTTCTCTCTTTCAGAACCTCGTGGTTTAGCTTTTCTTTCTGCATTTTGATTTCTTCAAGGTCCTTCTCTTTCTCGCGTAACTGATCCTTCATACTAGCAATTTCATCTTCTAAACGATCTTTGGCTGAGCTAACAGAAAGCAGGTTTCTCTTCAACTGCAAATTCTCAGTTTCTGCCTTACCCTCGAGGTTCTTCTTCTCTGTTGCAATACCAGCTGCTTCTGAGTTAAGTTGTCGAAGAAACTCAACAAGGACGATGTTCTCAATGGCGGTGTGTTGGTTTTCAGAAATCAGACCTGACTTCTCATCTGAGAGTGATTTACAAGCTTCCCTCAACATACTCAGCTTTCCTTTGACTGCTTCCAACTCAAAATTCAAACCTGATATAGATTTTTCCAAGACAAGGTTTTTCTGAACAAGTTTCTCCAGAGTTTCCAGCTTCTCTAGAAGAGCCATCTTTTCGCTTTTTTCTACCTCATTGCATGCTTTCAAGGTTGAGTTTTCCTCTTGTAATTCTTTGACTGATGACCCAACCAACTGGTCCTTCTTCTCTACCTGACTTAATTCCTCTTTAAGACAGTATATTTCTTGCTGCAGAGCATTTCTCTGGTCCACTCTTAATTCAACTTCTGCTTCACGTTTCTGTATAGTTTCCTTTAAACTTGAGACATCTTCTTGCAGACTTTTCACTGATGCAACCGAAGAGAGATTGAGCTCACTGAGACCTTTCTGCAACTCATTGTTTCGGATCTCCATGTCATTCATGATTTGGGACCTGTTTTGAAGTTCCACAGACAAATTATTTAGCTCCTCTTGAGACTGAGATTGCAATTGCTGCAAGGTTTGAAACGCGGTCTCAGCTTCCTGGAAACGCAAATGCTCTTGTTGTACACTACTCCACAGTTTGACCAGCTCCGTTTGCTTCTCAGTGAGCTTTTCATTTTGATTCCCCAGTTTCTCCAACAGACCATCAAGCTCAGAGTGAAGATTCTGATTTGATCTCTCAAGAACAATACATTTCTCCTCAGAAAACTTTAACTTAGCAACTTCATCCTCTAGTTCACTGCTAAGCCTTTGAGTTTCTTCTTGCGCATGGTATAGTTTGAGTTTCAGATCCGCAATTACATTCAAACACTGTTGGTATTGAAGCTCAGAAGCTTCTTTATCCTCAATCATCTTCGAGACTGTTTGCTTCAAGGTTTCGACTTCTACCCCAGACTTTTCAGCCCGCTCATTGATAAGCGTTGCATCTTCCTCAGCCTTCCTCAGTCTCTCTTCTAGGTTAGATATTGTTTTCAAGCATTCCTTGTATTGAACAAGAGCAGCTTCCTTGTCAGTTTCAGCTATAGCAAGGCTCTGCTGCAAGTCGCGAGTTTCAGCTTCAACTTTACTAGAGTTTACAGAGATTCCATCTTCCAAATCAGTTATCTTCTGCAGGCATTTCTGATACCTAAGTAAGCTTGATTCCTTTTCAGACTCTAGATTGTCAATGGTTTCTCTGAGTGTTTGGATCTCAGCTTCTGCACTCGCGGCTCTGTCATTAAGCCCCCTTGATTCCTCTTGTGCACGAGATACTTCAGATTCTAGATTCAAGAGTCTCTCCAAATTCTTCCCAACCTGAGCTAAGCTAGCTTCTTTTTCCGCCTCCATTTTAGAAAGTGAATCTTTCAGAGCCACAACTTCAGCCTTGAGATCAATTCTTCCTTTTCCATCCCCATCATTAAAATTCAATCCCCTTCTCGCTTTGCCATGGACATGAGATAAAGATAACCCCAAATCATCATTTTGCAACTCATCCAGGTCAGCTGGAGTTTGTGGATCAGCACCAACATGTGACTGATCATCACCAAATATCAACGGAACTTGGTTTGGGAAGACATCTGCTATAGTCTGATGAGCCTTATGGATCACACCGGTCGCATGGTTATATCTTTCGGCTAACGCGCGGTACGCACGATAGAACTCTTCCACCAGTTTCAAAAGCTCTGGACGTTTACGGTAATACATCTCTGCTCGCCTGGCGAATGAATCTGCATCCTCCTCAAGAACCTTGATCATTTTCTTCACATTACTATCCATATCTGTCAAAATCATAAAATAAAAACATTTCATCAAAACCGCATATATACAAGAATTTTTCATGATTTCTGTATAATGAGCTATTTCAGTGAAACCACATTTAGAAAGTTGCAATGAAGATACACTAGAAGTAGCTATAGCTCTAAGTTCATAGTGTACATACCTGCAAGATTCTCTTGAAGCCATTTGGAATTTTTGGGGGTATTGTGACTATCCCACCACCATGAATACAGACGTCTCGAGTCACTCTTTGCCAAAACTTCCATTTTATTCAGCAAATACCAACAAACCACAGAGAGGATGTGTAAATCAAACTCCTTCGTCTCAGACTCTCACAAACTATTTAACAAATTACCTGAAAAAATGAAAAGCAATGATTGATCTCCCCAGTAATATAAACCAAACAAAATAGAAAAATCTAAAAAAGAAGCAGTAAACGAATGACCAAGTCTATAAGACCAAAATCGGATGAAAAACTCACTAACCAAACCTAATTTCGGATAATTAAACAAAATTGGGATTTTCTATGATATGATTACCACAGATAAGCCCAGAGTGCAACAAATTTCGAGTCAGAAAATCAGACGATCACACAGGAAAATTATGGATAATAGTGAATAAATAGCCGAAATTGTGATCCGGAAGCTCAAAAGTAATAATTCGACATTTAACAAACGAATCGGAGAGCAGTGAAGTCAGAGTTCGTACCAAATTTATAAAACGAAATCGAATGGCGGAGATTCCTTAAAAGTAAGAGCGCTTCGTTTACTTCTAAAATTCTCTTAGATTAGCTTCCGCTTCGTGATCTTCTTCGGTATCTTCTCTTTGATCTCTTTCTCTCTCTCTCGGCGTTTATACTCTGTTTCTGCTTTTTAACGTTGTGAAGAGAGTTTTGTTTAGGTTATGGTGGGCTCGCTTAAAAGAGAGAGAGAGAGAGAGAGAGAGAGAGAGAAAACTGACGAGTTAAAATGACGGAATCACCCTTATGACGCTTATTCGTCAAATTGTTTTTTCGTTGTTAGAAAAAGGCAGTTTCGTTCTCGGGATTGCGTGAGATAATTGGCTTTCCCTAAACTCATGTTATTCACGCTTTATCATTAACTTAAGCTAATGTAATTTGCGCCTTAAATTAAGCCTGTGTTAATATCACACGTATATGTAAAAAATAAAGGAAAAATGTAAAAAAACAGCTCTAAAAAACAAAAAAGGAAAGAATCTTTGGAAAGAAAGAGAATCAGCAAAAAAGGAAAAGGTAAAAGCACAGAGAGGCGTGAGCTTCAGCCACCCTATCACATTTGTCCACGTATGACAGATACCTGTTTATTTATACATACATGTATGTATACAACTTATACATGAAAATATGAAATTACAGCCTGAGATACCATAACCGGATGAAAAACTTATACATAAAAATTAGAGCCTGAAATACCATAAACATATAAACTGTCAATTAAAAATTCATTACAAATGTACAACTACATACAATCTCAACTCGAAAATAATTATGCAACCTGTAATTAGGTGAAAAAAGCTTTCTTTCCTCCACAGCTTTTGATATTTAGTGCAAGTAAATTGAATTACAATCACGTAAGACAATCTTCTGATAAAAGTAACTGTAACTAAATAAAATCCGATTATAATTAATCAGTTTAACTGATAAAAAAGAGTTAGCTTAGTTGATTGAAGTCGTACGATAAAATTATTCTGTTTTTACTAACAAAAACTTAAGCAGCAACTTAAACAAACTATACGACATGTAGAAACATGAATCTGACATATTTGGACCCATTTAAATCATCACAAAATACATATGTTACAATTAATCACTCGAAAAAATCACAAATAATGCTGTATCATGTAGCCATGATTAGACTTAGTGAAAACAATATTGGTGGAGAGTCTGGAGACAAACTTTGAAGAGTGGTTGACAACTTCCATGAGTACTCAAAATTTTCATAACAATGTATAGAGATCATAACATTAGAGCAAAAACTTAGTATGTCTTTCATCTCGTCAAGTTTCTCAACAAGGTGAAAAACTTATTGTAATCCATTATTCCTCTTCTTCGATTTTAATAAGATATATTCTCTATAATCGACGTCAATTCTCTATAATTGAATATTTGGACACAAAGGTTTGCGGAATAAAACTCATGACAATTAGCGCCGACTGTGGGGAATATGTCTTTAATAAGAAGAGGAACAATGTATTACCAAAAGGATTTCACCTCTTCGACAAACTTGATGATATGAAAAACAGGAAACAATAAAAAAAAAAAACAAAAAGTAACTGTTATAGTAGAAGAGAGAACAAGAGAAGAGAGGAATTGGTTGTGTCTTATTCCATTAGTAATGAGCTCCTTATATAGGATTACAATATAGGGTTTTCCTTGGAGAGGAATACACTTGGAGAACAAGCTAGAACATTCTAGAATATGGGCCGATAATGGGCTTCCATATAAACTAGTTATAACACTCCCCCTTGGAAGTCCATTATCTAAAAATATCTTCTAAGTGCGCATGTGCTGCCTCGTTAAAACCTTACCAGGAAAACCCAAAGGGAAAAACCTTAGTTAAGGAAAAAGAGTACAGCGCGCAACTACTCCCCCTCATGAGAACATCCGTGTAGATTAGGTGAATGAACTTCTTGATAATAGCAGATGGAAACTCCTTTAAAATCTTCACTTGAACAGTCTTTAGAACATTGACATCGCCATTCTTCTTGGTTGCATGGATCAAGATGATTCATCTTGATCAATCTCCTTGCTTCACTTGATCTCATAAATAGATGACAAGACTTCTTTAGATGTTTCTCATTTGTGTGTTCTTTGTTGCCTCATTAAAACCTTTCATGGAAAAACCCAATGGGATAAAAACCATGATAAGGAAAAAGAGTACAACCACACATATCATCATATTCTCCCCCTTGGAAGCATCTTCTTCAGGAGATGCATTCCAATACTATCTTTTGGAGATTACTATAAGTATAACTTTGATGAAAGTCATTTAGACTTTTAGTCTATGACATCTTTTTCTATAAACAATCATTTGGACTTCTGGCCAAATTTTCTCTTTTATATACATTCTTGTAAACATCTATCTTGTATATATAATCTCATCTCATTTTGCTCATTTTCAATTATGAAAGAGACTAACATATTTTTCAAATAGCATTTGAAGTATGGTACTTCAGGACCAAATATATGTGAGCATTGTTTATGTAAATCATGCCATAACATTTCTGGGAATTTGGGATATCTTAAGACAACTTTGTCTTTCCAAGATCTTTATCCCATCTCTTTTGTGATACTAATTTCGAAAATGCTTCTGGAATTTCGATGTTTAGTTTCATGATCTCTTTTGATCTATAATACTTTGTTAAATATACATGGGTATTTCACTTTCGTGATTATATCCATGAATCATATTTTATTCATTTGATTGAATAGCTATATGTTCTCCGGGAACATAACGATTATATCATTAATTCTTCAATGATTATATCCTTCAGGGACTTTTATATAAATGTCATTGTTTAGTGAGTTGTATAAGTCAAGTTCTTCTTTCATTGCCAGACTTAATGAACTTGAAAGTTGCATCCACCACATGAGAGTATATCTCTTCATACTCATTTTCTTCGGCACAAATGCCTTTATAACTCACTTGTTTCACACTTTTTAGGTGAAAGGACTTCTGGTCCAAATACTTTTCTCTTTCTAAGAGTTTTGTGTCTATTGCTTCTTTTGATTTGGCCAAATCATTACTTTGTGTACACAATGCAATAGACTTTGTTTCATGATCCTCTTTCTCATTCATAATATCAACTGCTACATTGCATGCAAATATATTATTTACGACGTCGATTTGCTTCTGGTTCCATTTTATTCTATACATGACATAAGTAATTTCTCGAGATCTCATCATTGTCTCAGGTACCTGAATTTCTTATTTGTCATGTTTAATGTCTCTTCTGGAGATCACTCAAAAATATTTGTTTCCTCGGTTTGACCATTGTCAATTTATGCTCTTTTACTTTTTCGAGGATTATAATATTTGGAACCGACAAGTCTATCACGCTTCATGCGTTCTTTAGACTCACTAGCAGCTTGATATTGTCCTTCTGGGACATCAATTCTTATTAGAGCATTTACAGCTGGTAAGTGACTCAATCACTATATTTGGGTCAGTAAATGTATCTGGCAACTGATACAATAAGTTTTGTGAATGAACTATCTTTTGGACTTCTATTTCACATTCTATAGTCCGAGGATCAATGATAATTCATTCAAACTACTTTTCTTTCCAGCCTTTTTTTCTCCCCCTGATGTTGGAAAGACTTATCCATTAACATGGTAGTCTATAAATGAGCCTTACTTAAATCCTTCAGGGATAGCTCTAGATATTATCAATGGAGATTCATATCCAACATCTACAATCTCTTTTGAAGATCCATCTTATATTGCTGTGGTGGAGCAATGTGGATGTTGCACATCCAAAGGTTTCTGACCCAAAACTAATTTTGATGGGGAGAACTTTTAGTTACTTGTTGGCTTTATGCGAGTTAATGCTTGTGCATTATGTCCAATGATGAACATTTTCTATTGATGTTCAACATTTATTCTTACAAACATGTTTTTCTTTCACCATAGACTTAAGATGTGATTTCACTAGCATTACTAAGTCATCTTGCAAACTTCAGGTTGCAAATTTATTTCATTGATACATACAACTATTTTGTTGATGCATTACAAAACACAATGAAATTTCTTACAGAGGATGACTAGTCCACAAAATGGGTTATTAAACCACACGTTTCTTGTATATTCTCTAGAAAATGAATTGAATCAAAATCTATTTTGGCTAGTGATAATTGTTGTATTATCATAATCTCTTATGATAAAATATCACATTAGAAATCATTAAGAAGAATCTTCTAGTTCTTCAATAAATGTTTACATGTTGTATTTTACTTCGCATAATTCTTAAACTGGAATGGTCTAACCAGTTCATGCCAAATTATGTTAGATTCAGCAAACTTCTGGTTTACTATATGACATCTATTTAACTTTTCCTCATTTATTGTATATTGAAATTCCTTGGAATTACTTTATATATGATTCATCAAGATTACTCATTTTTGAGTATAATCTTCTGGATTATGAGTTTGGGATTCTTACACTTTTCTTGATCAATGATCAAGTTTATCTTGAGTGTGAACATAATCTTCTAGATGTTCCATTTATTATTGATTGTGGGATTCATCC